TTGTTTGGGAGCAGCTTCGGCTGAGAATAATAACTATTCGCCTCTTTTACTCAGCCGAAGCTGTTCCGATTCAACCATTAACGAAGGCAGGCAGGCAGAACGGAGCACTGCGGGCGGGCGGGCGGGCGGACGGGGTGGGGGAGAAACGGGCGCTTCAGGGAAGCTGCGGCGACAGGAAAAGCCCCCCCCCCCGCTTCTTTGAAGCAGTTTCTTCCTGTGCTGGTGGAGGAGCGAGAGAGCGACTGAGAGAGCTGACCCAGAGAGAAGGACAGGCTTCGGTTGCTTCCTCCCTCCCCTTCTTTCATTTGTGTCCTTGATCCCCGATCCCAGCAGCATTCACCGAAGGCTTCTTAAGATTATATCGGCGTATAACACGCATACATCATTTGCCCCCTATTTTCAGGGGGGAAAAAGTGCGTGTTATACACCGATAAATACGGTATTTAAACAAGTGATCTCAAATTTATGGGTTAAATTGCCTTTCTATGCCATTGAGATAGCACCTTGCAACTTAAGAAACATTATTTTGTTAGATTGCTGCTGAAATTAACATTATCCCTTTAAGTAATCAGATAATGCTCAAAAGGTGATATGCCAAAATAGGCTAAGGAGAAGTTAATTAGTGCTGTTTAGTAACTTCAGGAATGCATTTAAGGAAGGAAATTTAGTAATAGACTACCTCATGATTTGTTGAAAATCCGGATTTATAGAAGTGTGATCTAAAAACAACTCCCTTTTTGTTTTATTCTATTTTATCAACTTGAATAAAATCTTAGTCACTGAGAACACATCGGCTCTCATTCTACAGCCTGTTTTAGACAAAAACCATTATCACACAGATTTTTGGAAGTTTTGGAAACTGCTTGGGATAAACATTTTTTATAGCCAAGCAATAAAACAAAAAACACACAGTACATTTCTGCTTGGGATAAACATTTTTTTCATATCCATGAGTTTTCAATTATAACAGCCAGGGACTATTACACAATCTGATGGATTATCCAAGACCACAGGATGTCTGAATTGGATCTCAGTAGCTTAAAAAAAAATCACCACCAAGTCACAACCCTCCCTTTGAGAGCCCTGTCAAGCAACAGAAGGTACGATTAGATTAAGCTGAAATAGTAAAACTTAAGCAGCAGCAAGTAGTTAGTAAAGCTGGAGGGGAAGCCACAGAAGGAAACAAATGCGGCAGCAACATTAAGCCCATCTAATTTAGATGTAATGCATGAAAGGCCGATTAAGGGACCAGCAGTTTATATTCACCCAATTTTAAAATACAACCCAGCTCAATAATAATTGAGTCACAATATAGCATAGAGAATATTTGTAACCATACTTGCTTATACAATTCAAGAGACAGACTTTGGCTGCTGAAGCATTTATTACTTGAGAGCATACATGGAGAATTACAAGGTGAAGTGCTACTGAAGACAAGCTACATACTCGCGTACACACAGCATGAATCAAATTGAGTGCATAATACTCGAGGATACTTTCAGTGGAGTGGATTAAGTAGTACAAAGTCTTAGAATTTTAAATACTATAAATGTTCACAGCACGAGGTAAACACTGGAAAAAGGTTAGTCATGAACTTCATTCAAACAGAGCAGGGAAGTTGATCAGAGCGCTCTTTTAGTATTTAAAATAATATGGCTTAATGTTTTAAAGAAATAGCATGAATGCAAAGGCACCGATATTCCAATTGCCCTAGTGTATATTTTTTTCCAAAGTTATTTTCTAATTGTTTTGCTTTGTTTTCTAATATACATTGAAAAGCTTTGTTTTTAATATATTTAAATATATGAAGATGGGGCTTCATAGCTAAATAGCTGAACAAGATGTGGTCTCCAATGTTCAGCTCAGGTTTAGAAGTCATAAGGCACCCACATTTTTCAGTCCACTTAAGCGAAGGACATACAATTGAACTTAAACGTGCAACACCATTTCATGATGACAGTTCCCTTTGACAGAGAAAACTCTAATGGAAATAGGACATAAAATTCTGCTAATGGCTAAGCCACCGTGTTAGTTAGGGCACAAAGTGTACATTTGCCCGCCGCAATTTATTCTTCCTTTTCTTCAGGCTGTTTGTTCTCCTGGTTGGTTTTTTTATCCCCTTCACCTTTGTGCTCAGCACTGCGAGGGCCAGCCAACTGTGGGTAAAAGGGACCTACCAGCCAGTTGAGGGGTGTGTTGTTAACAAGATAATCCATCACGTCATCCAACGACTCTTTCATTTTCTTCAACTGCCCTTTACTAGAGATGAGAAGGTTGTCAGACACTTCTCTGAGAGAAGAGGCCGACCGGAAGTTTTTGTACACATCTCCTGCAATTTCTCCAATGTGGTGGACCTGGTCCTGAATATTCTGGGGCAAACCCTGTATGCTGGACACCAGCGTGAGGCAGGTGGTCTGAAGCTGCTGGCTCAGGTTCTGTGCGATTGCTAGAGTGCGCGATTCAATGTGCTGAAAAAGAAAACAGCTCTTATAGTAGACGAATAGTTCTTTGCAAAAAGTTTTTTTAAAATTTCACAACTTAAGACAGTATCTTTGTTAATGCTTCGTTAGCAAAGGATATAGGAAAACTTTTATAAATAGGTTATAATGTGAGCCAGAGCTTTCCGCATGGACATATCCAACTTTGGAAGCAAAATTGGATTTAACTGGGGCACTGTAATATGATTTGATCAAATCCTATCTTTATCGATGAGCCCCAGTGGCGCAGTAGTTAAAGTGCAGTATTGCAGGCAAACTCTGCCCACAGCCTGGAGTTCAATCCTGACAGGGCTCAAAATTAACTCAGTCTTCCAAAGTCGATAACACGAGGACCCAGTTTGTTGGGAGCAATATGCAAATAATGCTTCCACATTGTAAACCGCCTAGAGAGTGCCTGTAAAGCACTATGGGGTGGTATAGAAACCTAAATGCTATTTCAACCCACATAATGTGGAATGGATCCATCTGCCCTCCTGTAGGATGTAACAGAGATCAAAATAGTTTGCCAATTCTTCTTTCCACCTGCAGTGTAATAAAATTTTCATGCTGCATAAGAAACTTCAATTTTCTAGACGGGGCAGATAGAATTATGGCATTTTATTGTTATATGTTTCAGGTGTACTCAGCGTGTGAAACCAGAAGCCAAAAAAAAAAAAGGTTTTACTGACAGAAAAGCAGTGCAATGGAGACAGTGCTATTTTCTAAGTATGCAGCAGTGAAATGAGGCTAGTCATTTCCTCTTGTGTTCTACTTATATTAATTTCTTCATCAGCTTCTCTATGTGATTCAAAAGTTTTTTTCAAAAGTTTTGCTTCCTGAAAAACTTTAGGTGATTGTGATGGACCCCTTCAAACTGAAGCCAAATATAATTTCAGAATGACTGTACTACTTGGGGAATCTGGAGAACTATGAAATTAACTTTTAATAATTCTAAGTATTTAACTGCATAATGTTTCCGACACTGCATGAGTTCAACTGGGCCAAAGCATTTTGCTGCTGATTTTCATTTGTACATAGTGTGAACAAATGCATTTTGTTGTAGTATCTAACCGTAGTCAGACAGTAATGATGGATTTCAACTGACCTAATACTATTTTTCCATTCTGGTAATGTTCTGGTGAAACCTTCCACCATATGTATTGCTGACTACACCTAGATTTTCGGGAAAGAAGTAGTACAAGTAGTACAAGTGTGAAAGCAGACAATGACTCTTAAGTGACATGTTGCAATTCATGGTCTTGCATGCTGTTAAGATGTTTGCCAACCAGCTGAATGTAGTTTAGTACTCTGTAATTGCCAAGAAAATTCTCAACACATCCTTGAATGCTTTCCAGGCAATTTTGTCTGGCTCCACTAACAGATCTTTGAACTGCTTGTCATTGATGACATATCTGATCTGTGGACCAACAAAAATGCCTTCCTTAATCTTGGCATCAGTTATTATGGAAATATCTGTCTCAAATAACAAAAACCTTCACCTTATTTCTTCATTGCTTTCACAACATTTTTCATCAGTCTTGAGTTATATGTGAAGCAGAGACAAAAATATCTTTGATGGGTCAACAAGTACTTCATGTGTCAGATTTTTCTGTCCTGGAATCAAAAGCTTTTAAAATAGGTATTTCTTTTTAACTAAAATGACTCTTTTGCACAGCTGTCCCATTCATATAACAGTAAATTTGATTTGATTTGAGTAATACTTGGTATATCTGAGCTGCATTCCAAGCAGTACAGCCATGTCTTTTAGATCTCCACAGATTTGGTGTGCTGAATGTGCTTCAACAACAGTTCCATGTTTTTGTATGTTTCTTTCATGTGTGCCACAACACTAACAGGTACTAAAGGATATACCGTAAATTGCCATCGTATAAAAACAGAAGATTTCTTTAAAATAGTATGTGATATGTTAAAATTACAGGTTATTTTTGTGATTAGTAGCCCAAAATCTATAAGATAGTCCAAAAGTGTTCAGGAAGCAAAATCTTTGTCATCTAGCAATAGCAAAGTCATATATTTGTTGTCAGCTCTTGACTGATACATTTCTGATTTAATTGCTGCCTGTGTTACACAATGAAGAACTTATTAACACAATATAAATCAAGAAGATGCCACTTTTCAGTGGAATTAGTTCTTTTTTGACATAGCTTCAGCATGTATTCCTTTCCACTTACCTCAGCACTTTGTGAAGCAGCCTCGCCATTAGGGCTACTGTTTTTCCTCCATTCTGTCCAGGAATTATATAATTTCTGTTGGGCACCTTGAAGTTTCACGTTAGCATTAGTCATGTTCTTTCTGGCATAATCCAGCTAGAATGTACAACATACCAAATTTTACAAAAGCATACATACCTCTTTGTTTTAATTGCTTTTAAAATAATGACAAAAAAACCTAATCCCCCCAAAAGTCACACAAAATTCTTCTTGATGTATCATTTATAACCACTGGCCCTCAGGAAAAAAATGATGTTAAGGATCCGATATCCTATATCTTTGCTTTTTAAAAAAGGAACTTTGGTCTATTTGGGGCCATCTGGAAGAAGCATTAGTGACTCTTTTGGTAGCTGCAAGAGTCATAATTCATAGCTGGTAATTCAGGACTACTATGTTAGCTGTGCTCTTTTGAGAGGTTTACAGCCAGGAGGTGAAATGCATGGTTGAAGACTAAGCCTCCCCATTTTCTTCCCATTGTTGAAAACCTCTGAAAGATCCCTAGACATTGAGGTCTATCAATTTGGTTGCTATTGAACTGACATAACCTGCAGTATAGTGGCCTTGTGCACGTATGGTCAACAGAGCTCTCCAAGGGAAGTCAGAGATGGAAATGGGAAAAAATAACTATCTTCTCCCACAGAGATTAAGTGAGAGAGGCCACAGATATACAGTAAAACCGAAATTACACAAATATTATGAATTGTGCATCAGGATGATGCAAGCTCCACATTTTGTATTTTCAATTCAACAACATAAGACAGAAAGAGTGGAGCTCGAGTCAGAACACAAATTTCATCAGTTACTCCCCTTTGGCTCCGGAAGGTCTACAACACAGAGGTACCCTTTTCCACTGTTGTAGAAGAAGAAAAAAGATTCTATAGAGGTTTTTAGACACTTATTGCCAGATTATACTTTGTGAGCTGGCTACCCAAAAATTGGATTCCCACTCTGCATGAAGAGGTCATGTGATCCATTCGGCTTAGCACATTTTGTACTGTGATTCGCAAAATCTGATTTATACCTTTGTGTTGTGTGAACCCAGGATGCTATAGTTACGTTCAACAACCTATGGTTAAAGTAAGTGTGATATGCAAATGTGTCCCAAGTGCAAGGTAGGCATTTTATTTAAGCTCAAGGCTCTCGTTTCATGCTTTGCCATATTTGATCCTGGAAACAGCAAAAAAACAAAAAAAACCATCCATGGAGAATTGAAGGAGTGATTAAATTTGTTTCATAATCTTGATATAATTATTAACTAGCCTTCATTTGGGGTACTTTTTCTACCATCTTTTGGAGGAAAGAGCAGAACTGATGTTTCAAGATGTCTAAGTTTTTTTTTTTTAAGTTTACCTCTGTTGTATTAAAAACTTATTGTGACAGGTGATTTTATTTTATTCTCTACTCACAGGTGATAGTTAAATACCTTAATTTTTAAGGTTTGGTGTGAGTTCAACCTTGGAAGTGTAATTAATTCTCAAAGTCCACAAAAAAGGAGAGGCTCAGAAGAGCAAAGAAAATAACATATGCTTCAGGAGACCACAATATTACTGATACAACCTACTTAAGAAAAATGTCATACTTACCAGGTTAACAGTATAATTGAGCTGAGAAATTGTCTCTTGGCTTCTGAGCTTAGCATCCCTAAATGCATTTAGAGCCTGTTGATAGGCACGTGCTCGGACCTTTGAAGACAAAGACCCTAGCCTAACATAGTAACTTAGCTTCTGGTCTCCAGTTTCAAATCCTTCCATGTTAGTAGCTTCTTTCTCTGCAGAGTCAAAATACAAACCTATTAATCTTATCATCAAGGCCATACCAAAAGTCCATACTACTCCTTAATGGTAAATTGGCTGGCTCAAATCAGGAAAAATTACTATTATCAGTAAGGAAGGGGTCTCTTGTTAAGGGTCAGAGGTATGCTTTGCAAAAATATAAATTCTTTGAAAAAACCCATGACAGGTGAGGGACTACAAGCTGGGTTCAATTGTTAAAGGAGACAGTCAAAGCTAATCTCTAAACCAGCATTTGTATACGGCCACGTTTCTCATCCGGGCAATTTTTAAGATATGCAGACTTCAGTTCCCAGAATTATGCCCTTTATTAATTTTTACTTTCCCTGTACACATTATTATCATTGTTATAATTTTCTATTGTTTTCCAAGTACAACAAGTGCTTCTGTACTGGAGACAAATTATATGCCTAGCCAGACTTGGCCAAATAAAGAATTGCTGGTTGGAGAATTCTGGGACTTGAAGTCCACATATCTTAAAGTTTGTGAGAAACAATGGCATAGAGCAAAAATTGCACCTTCCTCACTGCAACAAAAGGTACTAATCAAATCAAAACAGTAAGCTTTCCAATCCCACATATTACTGTGTTTCCCTGAAAATACGACCTACCCCAAAAGTAAATCCTAGCTTGTGTGCCCAATATAAGCCCTACCCCCCAAAATAAGCCCTAATTAAGACCCCTGCCCACTCCAGGGTGCACTGATAAAAATTAAGCTAAGGTGTGGATGGGGGGGTGGACTGCCCTACTACTTACCTTTGGACAGTTGCAGCTAGGTCTCGCACACCCCGACACCTGCTTTGCCAGTCCATTTCTTCTGCAGCCGGCAAGGTTATTGGCTGCAGAGGCCTTCAGGAAAGCCTTACCGGCTGCAGAAGTTCCTGAAGGCCTCTGATGGCAAAAACAAAGCCGGAGGGCGAAGCACACAAGTGAGGTAAGTCAGTGGATGACACCCACCTCCCAAAATAAGACCTGGTGCCTTTTTTGGTTGCAAAAGAACTATATAAGAAAGGGCCTTATTTTCGGGGAAACACGGTAGTACCTTCGGTCTCTGAGTCTTCCAGCAGATCCTTACCCAGCTCTTCTGTGGTATGTGGAAGGTACTGATCAACCAAAGTTTCAGACTTGCTGAGTGCAGTATCCACTCCAATGGTCACTAGGCACACCATCCGACTCTGCAGAACAGTGTTAATGCTGCCATGGACTGCATATTTAGTGAGCTCCACGCTGTCCAGAACCACCCCTTTTGTCTTGTCAACAACTTCACTCAGGGTGTGTGTGACTGTATCCTTGGCACCAGTCACAGTGGTTGTCACGGCATCCTTTGCACCAACAACTGCATCCACAGCATTGGCAACCATCTAAAAGAAGTTAAAGGTTTTTCTCCAAGAGCTCAAAGAACATGCAAATGTAGTCTATTTGTTTTAATGTTCAGTGATGTCAAGAGGTATCACAAGGCTCTCAAACTCGTGGCGGGCTGGATGCGTCACGTGCAGGTCACACCCCCACCCGGTTTAGCGAAGGGGGGAAAGTCTCGATACATCATGTGACGACGCGAGTTTGACAGTCTTGAGGTATCGGGTACGTCAAAGAGGTCGTAGGTTTGGTGTAAAGCAAGGGTGTCAAACTCAAGGCTCAGGGGCTGGATCCGGCCCATGGCTACTTAGATCTGGCCTGCGGGGCTATCCTGGAAATAGCAAAGGACTAGCCTCCTGCAACCCTCTGCCAGTAAAAACAGAGCTTGGGAGGGCGAGCTCCATTTTCACTGGCAGAGGGTTGCAGGAGGCCTTGGCAGCTGAAAATGGCGCTCAGGAGCCCATTTTCACTGGCAGAGTGCTTGGGCCTCTATAAGCACCCCCGAAACAAGTGACATCGAGCTGGCCATGTCCCCCCGCCCTCCCTGGAGGTCGAACACAACCCTGATGCGGCCCTCAATGAAATAGTGTTTGATACCCCTGTTGTAAAGCAAAAAAGATGTGGATTGAGGAAGCAGAATGTAGAAAAATTGTACTTCATGTCCACTTTCTCTTAAAAGGAAACAAAGCCTCAGTTGGTCATCACTGTTGAAAGAACTTAAGATAATTTAAATGCATTCAGGTCTCCAGGCCTGAATGAATTGCATTCTAGATGCTAGCAGAGGTGATTTGGAGCATCTCCAAAAAGAAGTACAGGTAGTCCTCCACTTAGGACCACAAATGAGCCCCAAATTCACGTTGCTAAGTGAAAATTTTTTGCCCCGTTTGACGAGTTTTCTTGCCACATTTGTTAAGTGAATCACTGCAGTTGTTAAATTAATAACATGGTCGTTAAGTGAATCTGGTTTCTCCACTGACTTTTGCTTGTCAGGTCGCAAAAGGGGACCACATGAACCCTGAGACACTGCAACTGTCATAAACATGAGTCAGTTGTCAAGCATCCGAATGTAAATCACGTGACTATGGGGATGCTGCAAGCGTCGTGTGAAAAATGGTCATAAGTCACTTTTTTTCAGTGCTGTTGTAATTTCGAATGGTCACTAAGTGAACTGTTATAAGTCGAGGACTATCTGTATAAATATTTTGCGTCTTCCTTGCTGACAGGGGATTACACATTACAGAGCATTTCACAGATGCAAACAGGCTTTATGGACAGATGGAACCTCCTATCCTAGAAAGATTATATACTTTATATGTGAGAATTTTGAATTAATCTGTGCATGAAACAATAGGTGTCAAATCCATGAGCAAACCTATTTTTTTTATCAACTAACATCATAGTCAGCCCTTCAGGTTTATTGCACACCTTCCTGAAATTAATTTAAGTCTAATCCAATTTAACTGCTCCTCTAAACGTCAAGTACTAATCCAGATCATTTGAACACAGCCCCATTACGAGACGATGGGATTAAAGGCAAATAAAAATATGTCCAAGCAACCTACCTTACCAGATGGTTGATAGAGTATAGGCAATTTTTCTTCAACTTTGTCCAATCCCATGCAAGCATAGCTATTGGCCACTGCAACTGCAACAATTAAGGATAGAGTTCAGATATTGCTGATATGCCTTCCAACAATTCCATTTTAGGATAATTTGGTATTGACAATATTTGAAAAAAAAGTACCAAAGGAGCAAAGGGGAAAATTATTATGGGGTTGTGGAATGTCATTTATTAATTGGTTACATTTATTTGCTGCCTATCTCTCTATGGTGCTACTGTAGGCAGCTGCACTACATAATCAAATAGTGTTCATTTGTAGATGTTTGATATGTGCATTTGTGTATATATACAATACAGATACATCATTGCACAAGACGCATGTGTGAAGGTATGAATGGACACGTATGACAGAAGCGCTACATGAGACCCACTGCATATGGAAAAATACCAGAATGGAAATTTCTTTAAAAAAAACTTGAGTTTTCAAAACAAGAGATGGTTCCTAGGTAAACTGGATGAGGTAAAGGCTTTCAAGTGGAAAAATACCAGAGGTTGTGATAAAAATGCCAAACTAGGTGCAATGCAGGCTGCATACAAGTGGGGAAGGGGGTGTTGGGGTGTGGAATGAGCTCAGGCAGGCCAAGGAAACAGGGCATGAGGTACTCTGTGTGTGAGCAAAGGGAGGCCGGGGGGGGGGGGGCAAAGGACACGGAGTGAGTACATGCATATAAGTGCGTGTAGGAGAAGAGAACACGGAGCGCGCGCATACGTGAGAATGCAGGAAGGCCAAGGAAAGTGGAGGCGGGGTGTTTGCATGCAAATGCACAGAGGCAGCAAAGAGGGTATAAGATATTTGCATGTGTGCACAGGTATAAGGGTATAAGATATTTGCAGGGTGCACAGGAAGATAAGGGGGAAAGGGTACCTTGTGTGTCCATGCAGGCGAGTGAGCACAGGGTGAATGCATGTGTGTGAGCACAGGGACACCAAGGAAAAGGAGTGCAGGGTGCATGGGTGTGGGTGCACAGGGAGGCCAAAAAAAGAGGGGATGAGTGCAGGGTGGCAGTAGAAAAAGCATGTGGGGTACATGTGTACGTGCAAGGATAGAGAGGCCAAAGAAAGAAGATACAAGGTGTGTGGTCAGAATTTCAAGGGAAAAATCCCAAGTCCCTTTGTTCAGCACTGTTGTAACTTAAAATCGTTGCTGAATGAACGGTCGTAACTCAAGGACTACCTGTAAGGCAGTAAATCCCTCTGCAACTTAAGTCTAAACTCTTGAGTAGGTATGCATATGATTATCTTTGTAGGAGGAAATTTAAGTTTTTAGGTCAGAAATTGGGCAATAAATGCTATAAATCTGCATTTATTTCTAAGTGTCCTGACTCTCTGGATATACTATAACGTTGGAGTTCTTATGGAACTCTCCTTACAACCTTCCTGAAAGGAATAGCTGTTCTTTGAGGCAACCAATTGGTGGCCTTTAAACTCACTACTAATCAGTGTTAGGGAGAACCATGGCAGATGTACCGTGTTTCCTGTCTTATAAGACCACGTCTTATATTTTTTTGGCCACCAAAAAAGGCACCAGGTCTTATTTTGGGGGTGCGGGGATGTTGTCCACTGACTCACCTCACTTGTGCACATTGCCCCTGGCCTCCTTTTCACTGTCAGAGGCCTCTGCAGCCAATAAAAAAAGCTCCAGATTGATTTGGAGCTCTGTTATCAGCTACAGAGGCCTTCAGGAAAGCCTTACCAGCTGCAGCAGAAATGGGCTGAGGTGTGCAAGGCTTGGCTACTACTATCCAAAGATTAGCAGTAGGGCAGCTCTATCGCTCCCCCCCAGCTTAATTTTTACCTATGCCTCCTGGAGCGGATTGGGTCTTAATTAGGGCTTATTTTGGGGATAGGGCATATATTGGGTGTACATGTAAAAATCAAGCTAGGACTTATTTTCTGAGTAAGTTGTATTTTCAGGGAAACACGGTATATAAAATTATACAACACATAGATTAACATTATGTGTGAGAAGTTAGTTTTTCCTCCCTTCCCTTTTCATAGGATGATGAAAATCAAGGTCATTTACTGGAACTAAATGTAAGGTAGGTTTAGGACTGATACAAGGAAATCTTTTTCTTTTTTCTTTTCTTTTTTCTTTCTCTCTCTCTCTCTCTCTCACACACACACGCACACAGAATAAATAATAAATTGATCCTTTCATGTCAGCCTTGACCCCTGGTATTGCCTATACAAGCCCAAACAATAACCTTGGCAGGACGACTTGTGGAAGTGATTGGCTCTTGCTTTCTTCCTAAAGCTAAGAAAGAATGACTGGCCAAAATCACCCAGCTGGCTTTGTGCCCAAGATGGGACTAGAACCTAATATCCTGGTCTCTTGATCTCTAGCCCTATGTGCCTTAACTACTGCGCCAAACTGGCTGCCAGTGCATAGTTAAAACAAATGAATTTGCTACAAGCACTTGGAACAGCAACCACTCATCTTCATCAAAGAATTGTCCCGTGGTTTTACAAACAGACCGGGAAGATTCATCAAAAGATCTTTGTCAAGCAATGGTTGTTAGTACAAATTATTACTTCCTTCTTTACAAGCCACAATGAAAAGGCATTAACATATCCTTAGTATGTGACCTTCCCCCAAGGGAACGCATAATGTTGGAAATGGCCCTTTGGCCTGATTCAGCAGGCTCCTCTGAATTAAGGAAGTATCAAAAGCTAATTCAGCTTTTTTTTTTTTTTGCTGTCATAAAACAGGAAGACTCCTGAATTCATCTTTTAAAAGGCCAAAGTTGAGCTGAGCATAGCGTTCCCAATAGCAAGCTGAAAGAGCCCTCTAAAAAAAAAAAAAAAAAAGACACAATATTTCCTGTCCTGCCATCACTTTTGCAAAATTAGATTTTCCCCGAGTCAGTACCCACACACAACGGAGTACTGTCTAAAATATAAACTGTAATTTCTGACAGTGAGGGATTTAGAAAGTAGGTGAAAGGTAAACTCAGTCGTTGGGTGGAAGTGGGTGAAGAGTGATGACAGAGCAAGCTTGAGCAACAGCTATTAATTTATGTATCAGCTTATGAATCAAAGTTCTCTCAAGTTCCTGACACATAAGTCATTGGAATTTTAACATCGGAGGCCAACCCTATTTCATTTTAAAAACTCGAAGTTCAGCCATGGCAGCTCTTAGGTATGCTGCAGACATTAGTAACAATTCTCCAAAGGGTTATTATTTGAAGTAGGTCCTGTAATTCCAGCAAATGACACGTTGAGAAAATGTTCTGTTTGAGCGCACACATTTTGGCACTGGTGTCAGGGCCAGTGACATACTCTACTTCGAAGACAGGGAAGTGATATGCAGCAAGCAGCATATGACACATTAGGAGGGGCTGACCTCCTGCCATCTTATCTCATCTCTCATTCCATCCACCTTTCACACCTATTTCCAAGCTATCTAATCTAATCTAATCTAATCTAATCTAATCTAATCTAATCTAATCTAATCATCTAATCTAATCTAATCTACCATTCCACCCACCTTTCAAACCTATTTCCAAGCTTTCAATACTCATGTCAAGTTTCATTCAAATTCTTTTAAGGAACTGGAATATCAGAGATGCAAGGGTATTATACATTGGAAAGTAAAAGAGGTTGAAAGTGCTTTTCAGGCTAAAAAGAAAGAAAGAAATGAAGAGGACATGCTAAACTCCAGGAGTTCCAAAAAGGTGCGGAGAAAAAGTATTATGGCTTACTTTGCGGCTCCAACTTTTGGATGATGGGCAGGGCGCTGGTCAGGGCCACTGCTGTAATAGTCTTCACTCCTTTCTCTGCCATCTCACAGACAGATTTCAGATATGGGTAATTATCTTTTGTGTTGACATAAGCAGAAGAGACCATATCGTAGGTGGAACTCACCAGAGGCAAACTAGCAACCCTGGAAACGACGTTCTGTATAAATACAAAATGCAAGATGATTTACTCACAATTCTTCCTCAAAAGTGACCTAATATTTTTTATTTAATTGAGACATACCTGCTGGGTATCAGCCAACACCGCTGCCATCTTTTTGCTGTGAATGTTTTAAAGTCTGGAAAAGGATTAAAAGCAGTAAAAATTATTTTTAATATAAATTTTAATCTTTGACAAAAACAAAGTATTTGATACCTTTTATTAATTTCTAAACATGCATTTTGTGCAGGGGAATGTTATAAATCTGAATATTAGAAATCACTTCTTTTTTAGATATTTCAGGACAATGTGCAAAAGTGCCAAAATGCAGTTTTTCTAAGCAACACTCAGTAAAGCATGAGGTGTTGCTTAGAAATAAGCAAGAGGCACAAAATATCTAGAACAGGGCTATCAAACTCCCAGCCCACAGGCCAGATGCATCACACGCTAGCCACACCCATGCCTGGTTTAGCGAAGGGGAAAAAAGTCCTGATATGTCATGTGAAGTTTGACACCCTTGATCTAGAAGATTTTGACCAAATTATTTAACTTTCAAGACAGTTTGACTTTTGACTTCAAAACCTGCACAATTTAAAAAACTAAAATTCGGTAGAGGAAACTTAAATACGAATCAAGATTAATACAGCTGGGAGCTATGTTCTGGTTACCATAAGGTAAAGCCATAAAACAGGATATTTAATAATTTGATTCCAAAATTAAAGCAGACAGAAAGTGTTTTATATTCCAGAATGGGTCGATAGCTTTTATATGATAAGTTTGACTAGTATGTTGTAAATAATTTAGCACCACTGCTGGGTGTGGCAGTATTCTTCTAAAACCATGATTATTATCCACATTACATGACAACAGCATTATTCTTACTAAAATGCCCTAGCTTATAAAAATATAATCTTGAGCATAGTAATAAAAATCTGACAAGTTCTACTTTAATTTATTTGGCTATTATGCACACAACATTTCACTCAACACCAGGCTTTCTCTGCATATACAGTGAGGCTTACTTTTTATTCTAACCAGCATTTTAAAAAGATGTAGCTTTTATCGGAAGGCCATACAATTAGCAAAAAGACTGGAGTTCAAAAATATAGAATATTGGTACTACATTTACATCCTTAATCAAACAAAGGATAAACACACATTATTGGCTAATACTTTATTAGGGCTAACCAAAATGGCCTACAGCATTGTGCAGACTTCACTTTTCCCAGAGTATATTTTTTAATGGGGCAGTTATACAAAAAGCAGTGTTTAATTAAGTGGCTAAAAAAAATCAGAATGGTCTAGTGGTTAAAGCACAAAGCTAGACACCAGGAGGCTGTGCTAGAAATTCTAGTCCTGCTTCAGGCACAAAGCCAGCTGATGGCTGGGTCAATCACATTCTCTCAGCCCTAGGAAAGAGGCAATGGCAACCCATGTCAGAAAATGTTGCCAAGAAAATTGCAGGGACTCAGACAGTCCCAAGAGTCAAAATATGACTTGTAGAACAAACCTACTATATTCCAGTGAACCAATGCATGTTGTTCCTCACCCATCTTAAATATCAGGATTCTTTAAAGCTTCAAGATTAGACGTTGATGAGGGTATTCTTTAAATAGGTATTTAACGATAATCGAAACAGAAGAAATGTGGGAAATTGAAACATACAGAGCTTTCAAAGTAAGCCACAAAACAAGTTCTACTTATAAATAGGACCGACATATTTTTAAATGCACACATTTAAACTTTCCGTTGAAGGATTATTTGTTTCGATTCTGAAAAAAAAATTGATTTGGTGGAGTTTTTTTGCTTTTGCTTTTAATCCGCCGCTATATCCTAAAATACTTTAGCAACCGGCCAACAACCCACCGACTGGAATTACACCCTAATAATCCTAAAAACTGTAAGAGATGTTGAACACTTTTCCCCCCCCCCCCAGCAGCCACACCAAATTCACAAATCGAGAAGGAAGGGATGGGGAATTCGTTTTCTCCCTGGCAACATTTCCAAAGTTTTTCTCTCTCTCTCTCTCTCTCTCTCGGGCAAACAGTAATCCTTTTGCACCATGTATTTTATCTCGGAGTTCAATTTTTTTTTTTTTTAAAGACGGGGGTCAAAACGAATCCTGCAATCATACAAGCCTGCACCTATGGGAAAGGCGCCTCTGTAAACCCACACCCAAGCATTTCTTTAGCCTTTGCAAATCCCCCCAACCTTTCCCGAGGTGCTTTAAAGCCGAACCCAGGAGAAACAAGAGGTACTATAATTCTACAAATGCAGAGTAGATATACAGCAACTTTTTTTTTCTTGCAGGGCGTGCAAGAGAGCCTATGGAGAAAACACTTTTCCCAAGGGATGGGACGAGCAAGCACGTTTCCAGAGCCACAGTTCTTCTACACCGAGGTGCAGGGTCAGCCCTCCCTCCACTTTACCTCCTCAGAGGCTAAAACGGAAAGGTCCGTCCTCCCCACTAGGCAACGGCTCCTTAAAACAAGACACCTTGCTCCCAAGAGTAGGTAGGTACTCACCCGGGGAAACCAGAGGTTGCTAGCAAGACCTAAGCAAGCTTGCTCGTAGCCTAAGCACATTAACTCTCGAACTACTGTCACACCCCGGGTGCCGCCCCGGGGCAATTTATGCAGGCAAGCCAGCCAACCCATCAGCCACATCTCGCGAGAGAGCTGTGGATCCGACCGCTAGGAGCAAACTTCGCCCTCCTCTCGTGATTTCGTGCGAAAGACCTCGCTTTCTCGAGAAGTTCCGTGTTGGAGGAGGAGGAGGAGGAAGGCCATCGGAAAAACAGCAAATGCACCCTAAATGATGATGATGATGATAGTTTTGTTGTTATTAAAACATGAAACTCAGCCAACTGAACATTTAAAGATGTATCACAAATATTATTGATTGGCACTGATGGTTGATATGGGTTGCTGCTATTATTTATTATTATTATTATTATTATTATTATTATTATTATTATTATTATT